ATCATCAGGTACAAGTAATTGTCAGTGTAAATTACTTGTACCTGATGATGACAAAACCTTGTCGAAACGTTGTACATTTGCTGTTATGTTAAACTTATATTAAAGTTTTTCTTCATTACCCATTCAAGCCGTCTCCATGGTATACATTGTTTCTATAAAGAACTAACTAACTTTTAACGTAAGAAATCTAGGCTGAAGATCTTTATTATAGGAAAGTGGCAATATACATGTTAATTTTGTTTTGAATGCAAAATAAGTGGCTCTTCATTACTTTAAATGTCTGTAACACAAGTTGAAATATTGACGCCATTTTTGTTTCTTTCAGTGATTCAACAACTATTATATTATGAATTCTCCATAAAGGCGTGTAGTTTAGAAAATAAGCCGAAAACTTCAACCTCAAGTATTGTTTTGTGTTTATTCTATAGTTGAGGTTGGAGATTCGTGTTTATTTTTCCAACTTCAACTATAAAATAAGCCCCAAGCTCCAACCTCAAATAAAAAAAAATATGCCCCAAACTCCAATCTCAAATTTAAAAAAAGCTTTGGAGCCAGCTGACATTAATTCAACGAAACGTTACGGTTTTGTTCATGTGTTTTTCATACATTAACAGCCTGTATATCATTATACTTTCTAAGGTTCAGGACACTGTCTTCGAAAGAACGTCACTACGGTAATGACCAGATGACTCGAATATTTTTTCTTCTCACCAAGACAAGCGCTTGTTAGTTTTTTAAAAACGGTGACCTAACCAGACCAGAATCTTTTCCTTCAGGATCTTTCATTCTAGAGGGTCGTTCACCACAACAGAGAATGATGTGGTGTTGTGAGTACAAACTCTCTGACCTACAGCATGACCGTGGCTTCGAAAGTGTACAAGTCAGGATTTAGCAAGAATTAGCGTTTCTGGGCACGTTGACGGAAGTCGAATTACATGTTTCATTGTGTATAAATCAGGTTCTTTTTACTCTGTTCCCTCCTTTACTAATATCTTTAGAACAAAATATCATAAAAAAATATTACGTGTTGTTTACGTAACAGTTGCTGATGGTGCAATTGAAATTCTTGACACGTTCTTTTCTTCTGTCATTTTGTAGAGGACACTTATTCCTTCTGGCCAAATAATGATGGAAGTGACCAGAAGGAAAGGCAATCATGCTGCATATTTTTAAAGTTCTAGAATGTAGAAGCGGTAGCTTTTTTTTTTTTATAGTTTTTAGCTATTTACTACATATGCATTTCTTTATACTACGTTTTGGATCCTTTATTGTAATGAAATTTATACACACTTCTAAAATTAAAATAGACAAGTTGAAAATGAAATGTTATGAGAAATGCACTTGTTTCACATTTGAAGTTATATAATTTTAAAATGTTAAACCTACTTGAAATATTCATAAATTAAAAAGCGATAAACAGTTTCAAAAACGTTTTCTCACCAAGTTCAATAAATTTTGTTACAACTGCACTACACGTAATTAATGATCCTTGATAATTACAATACGTAGTAAAATGTGGAGTTTTTATTACTTGTTGAAATTCATAATATTCTAAGTTATAAATGTAAGTCTATACACTGTAACAGTCTTGTTCGACTTTATTCATTTTTATACGTCCTTTTGATCCTTCCAAGACCACTGAAATCATGGTAAACGTGTGCGTCTAACATGTACACACATAAATGTATATCTCACTATAAAGATAAGCCATTGTGTGTGTATATGTCTGTTTGTTAGGATCCATCGCCCAGAGCTGGCTGGCTCAATTATCGCAATATTTGGTTTGGTAACTAGAAACTGTCCGTTGGGTTACCTGGCTGTTTATTTTAGGATTTTTCTATGAGAAAGGAGATAAAAAGGAGCCTGAAATAGGGCATATTTCCACTTTTTATATGGACTTTTGGCTTTGAATTTAATGATACAACTACTTAATCAGTTAAATGAGTAAATTATTATCTTCCACAAAGCAGGGTGTTCGATTAGCATCTAACAAGGTAATTAGGAATTTAATAACAAAAGAAAGAAAGGAAACACTTTATATAATATTGTCCTTTATACAGTATTTGTTTCCTTAATGGGTACTGTCAGCTATTATACATAAAAAGGAGGCTTATGGCTTATATATTAATCGAATACCTCCTTATGTATTCAGATGTTATGAAACATAGAACTACGTTAAGCCTATTTTTGGTTGACGAATTAATTTGATATCCTCTAAACATTTTACTGATTGTGATAGCGTTTTTTGATTTAGAAAATAAGATCTTGGCAAAAATAACCTTTTTTTATCTCTTGTCTAAGTCTTGAAGAAAGCATGTCTGAATTTGAGAAGTTGAAGATAGGATGTCTCAAAAAGGGAGAACTTTTTGAAGATCCCGACTTTCCTGCAACTCAAGCATCGGTATTTTATCACAAGAACCCGCCATTTCAGTTCATCTGGAAAAGACCAAAAGTAAGGAAAAACTGTTTTTTTAGTATCGTTTGTTTGTTTAAGAGCAAAACTACTTAGGCTAGTTTGTGTGTCCACCGCGCGGAATGAAACCCCGGATTTTAGCGTTGTAAGTCCGTAGACTTACAGCTGTCCCACTGGGGGACTTTTCTTTATTAATTGTTTAATGTGAAAATGTGAAGGTTCCATGTCTATAGTTGGAAGATGAAAGTAATCCCTACAGTGATAAAATTATATTTGTTTTGTCCCCTGGTGGCTCAGTGGTGGATTTGAGGGCTTATAACGCTATAATTCGGAATTCGCAGCGTACATAGCGCACACAGCCTATTGTGTAGATTTACGCACAAATATACAAAATTGTTTGTATATTAAACTTATGAAATTTTGTTCATTAATAGATTAAATAGTGTAACTAGACGAGTGCAGCGAGTGAGTAAGAAAACTCCATCTTTGAAGGTCTGAGTATGGTAAAAAACATAAAGAAACATTGCTGCAACCACTGCAGAAGATGGTTCGGTTTAATAGCGGTATAATAATGAAAAACGTAAAGATTTTGTGCTTGTGTGTTGTGCTACGTATTACAATTTCGAATTGTCTGAAATCGAGCTGAATGATAATTTAAATTTAATAGTTAAATAAATGCCGATATATCTCCAATTTATGATATTTGCCAATAAGATTGATAGACACAGTTTTCTTTTTTGAATACAAATATATATTCTTATATACAAATAATAATACAATTTACAACAACGGTTATTATAAATAGTTATTACAAACAATGATTTATATGCAAAAGTTTTACAAACCTACAAGCAATATAAAGCCTCTTTTTTCTAGTCTGGAACTTCCTTGATATCTTATCGAGGGTTCTCGGTGAGCGAGTTAATTTCGAGTTGACGTAGGTACAATTCACTTAATAGGGAGATAGCTAGCTCTGTAGTTCTCGCTGATCAAACGCCGATTACAGGTCGAGTTTCTTTTACCGCTGAAGTTATATAATGTCTTCGTACAAGTATTAATGTCCGATGTGAATCCACTGAAGTTAAATGGTTTATATTTGTTAGAAATTTATAAACGTTCCTGGTCAAATATCTGAAGTTTTCTGATTAATAAGCGTTAATCACAACTATAGCTTTTGAGGTTTATAGTATACCAACTATAGCAAACCAATAACAGATACTGTTTTTTGGCGCGTCGCGTTGGTTATATTTATAGGCGTGTGGAGAGTTTCTCGAAAATTCAGATTACGTAACAATACAAAGCTACACTAGCGTTTAGGTACACACATATATTGTTGATTTTTACACTCGAGAATCTTCTACAACTTCAGAGAATAGGCGTGAGTTTTGCAATACATATTTAACAGCATACATTATGTACATTTCTAAATATAAATATATTTAAACAAACATCGATGTTAAAATAAATGTATAATAATAAATCCGTCACACTAGTTATAAATCAGAATTTAGGCAAAAGATAACTTGCAGTCATGTCTCCTGTTTCTTTTAAACACTCGTTTTCTTCATTTGGAAATAGTCCTAGCACTAAAGATCAATATTTCGAAATACCAATAAACCATTTAACGTTATATCAAAGTTTCTGATTTTTACAAGAGTCAACTGTAGATAAGGAAATGTCAACAAGTAAGTGAATCTGCATGTTTTGGGCCAAACATTTTAATTATTTTTCCCATAACGGTATAGAATACATTTCAACTTAAGTTCGAAACACACGAGAACAAAAACGTTTTTGTCCAAATCATTAGGCTGAAGCTGAGCAAACCCTAGTATTACCGATAGAAAATATTTGTTCTTCTTTCAAGGTCATGAACTTTTGGCCTGACTTTTTATAGGAAAATATATTTATATAACATATATCAGTTCGATCTAATGCAGTGAGGCATTTCAACGTCACGTGATATATACGTCTATGAGCTAGCTGCCTTTGTCGTTGTTTCGCCGGTCATGTGTAGGCGTTACCGCTGTTCCATCAAGTGTGTCTTTTAAAGTATCAGTCAATAAAAGCATAAATTTTATGTTAACCACTAGATATCTATCATTAAATCAAGGCGCAAAATAATGGATTTTTTTTTCAGAATATTATAACGTTTTTAAGTTTTATGTAGATTGAAGATTAGATAAATTTTAACTTTTCACAAAATGGCGTTCAATGCCAAATATCCGAAAGTGTGCACGTTGAAAAATATTGGTAAACACAAATTCCATTTACGTACACGTTACTCTTATATATATATAATACTGTGCACGATGAAAAATATGGGTAAACACAAATTCCATGTACGTACACGTTACTCTTATATATATAATACTGTGCACGTTGAAAAATATGGGTAAACACAAATTCCATCTACTTACACGTTACTCTTATATATATAATACTGTGCACGTTGAAAAATATGGGTAAACACAAATTCCATGTACGTACACGTTACTCTTATATATATAATACTGTGCACATTGAAAAATATGGGTAAACACAAATTCCATCTACTTACACGTTACTCTTAAATATAATAATTTGTCCTGTATCATACCTTCACAAATCCCATGTTTATAAGCAAAGATACTGATTTTTTAAAATGGCAGGCGGTTTTGAGAAACTAATATAATCGTATTATTCTAGACGAGTATGCTTTGTTTTTGTTCAAGTCATTGGTTTATTAAAACTTGGTATTATTTTGATTAGTGTTTGCCAGCTACTAGGTTTAAGGAAGAAAACTTACTCTTGCTGGTCAAAATTCGCAGGCTATCAAGAATGTTCTTGCATTATTTACACTATCACCTAAAGCCATGTATATATATTTTTTAGTGGATAAGAATATTAAGCTGGAGATACAGCTATGTATTCGTGAATAAAGTATGTGAAGGAAAAGGGGTAAAATTTGAACATGTCCTCAATTAACATAAAAAAAGGCATTTTTTATCTACTTTCTGAAAGTGATTTATAGCGCTGGAAAACTTGTTTGTTATATGTCCAATGGTTCTAGTAACGAACAAATAGGTTTAACTTTATTGACTAATAACAAACTCTAATCATCGATTTTTTTATGTAAGTAACTTTTATAGAAAACAAAACCATTTTGGATTTTGCTAGAACGAGGCCTCCCATTTTCCCTCTGTTAGTAAATTTGACAGAAAACAGAAAAGTGTTTAGAATCTTGATAGAATCCGGCCTTCTGTTTTCTTTCACTCGTACCTTTCATAGAAAGTAGAAAAAAAATGTTTTGCGGTTTGTTAATGTGTTACATCTTATAAAACTATTGGAAGAGAGCTTCTATTCATTCGTTTAACTTTATACATAGACTGTGTTTAAATCCCGAACTTTATTTATGAGTGGTTACTTCTTTCTTGAATACCCTGGGATTGCAGCATATATCATACCTGTTTGAATGACAGAACACGTGTAGATTGCGATGAACCCTGTTTCTCTGAAAAACACTACTCATTCCAGGAAAGCCTAGATACACTCGCTGGTACTTCATGGCCGTTAATCACTGGTCTTCTACTTGTCATTGTCATGTATAATTAGATATTCTAGCGATGTGGGCATTGTGGAGGAACTTAGCTGTCAAGACGGGCCCATGCGGTAGACTTCAAAGTAACTATCATAAATGCTATCAAGTATTACCTTGGAGATACCCAAAGGTGAACAGCACCCCAAGCCCGCCAACTGTGTGAAAAAGTTATTGTCCGTACCTTGGACTTGGATTTACATTTTATAAGACTAAATTATTAAATAGATAATTGTATTATTATGATAATTTTCAGACCAGTTAGTTTATAGAAATTAAAAGATATAGTTGTTATGGATTCCGCAGTTAGTACCATTGATACAACATTTTTAGCGTCCCACTAGTTGAAAAAAAGTCATCTATCTGTAACGATATACATTAGCACCCCATAGAAAGTATTATACTTACCACTGAGATTTAAAGTTTTGTTACTAAACCGGCCCTATATTAGAAAGCATGATTCAAGGTACCAAAGAAACCGTACCCATTACAATCACAGATGAGGGATTTATGTTAGAGGTATTCCATCAGAGGTGCCAGGTGTGCTATGTTAGAGCCGAGTTCAAATAACCAGAGATATGTGTTTAGTTTAGATATTATTGATTAATTTAGTTTTGTGAGTGTATATTTTATTATTGTTTAGTTTTTGTTATAATAAGAGTTAAAATCAGACGAGTGTAGGAAGTTTTGTTAATAACTCATTGATGTTGAGACTATTGAACGTCACGTGCAATACACTGACGTCGAGAGTATAGAAGCCGGAGAGACGATTAAGTGATAAAGATATAAATAACGTGAGACGAGCGGAAACAGCAGGCAGATAATAGCAGAAGAAAGAAAGGTTACTAAAGGGAAGGTTCGGCGTGAAGTTAACCACCGCAAAAGTGATAGGCCTAACGTTTAATATGTTAGAGTAAGACTAATAGTAGAAACGGAGAAAAATAATTTATTTCGTCAAAGCGTGGTTCTAAAGTAATTGAAACAGCCTGAGTGCACTTTGACAAAAGGAACAGAGAATCTTCAGAAGAAAGATGACCAAACGATTACGGTAACTCGCGCCACAATTGTAAGTGGATCACACACAGAATACTAGTGTGATAGTAATATAGAAGATAGTTCGGCTTGTCAACTGAGATTCTAAAGTGGACTTTTGACAAGAAGGAGAGAACTATATATATAATGTTTATGATATGCCTATAATCTCTATAGTGTGAATAATTTGTTGTAAATACATTTAACTTGTTACGATAAACTTGTTACAAAAATAAATTAATCAATAATATCTAAACTAAACACTCTTTTATGTCATGACACACATCTCTGGCTATTTGAACTCGGCTCTAACATATAGCACACCTGGCACCTCTGATGGGATACCTCTAACAAGAATCCCTCTTCTGTGATTGTAATAGGTACAGTTTCTTTGGTACCTTGAATCATGCTTTCTAATATAGGGCCGGTTTAG